GTTTAAAAAAAAGGGACATTTCCTCTCTTTTGGAAAAAGCAGATATTTTCTTTAAAAAAATAATTGACGTTAAAAAAAAAAAAAAAAAAAGATAGTAAGAAAGTTGTAAATTTTTTTTGGATAAATTGAATACATTTAATAAGGGTATACTTGGAAAGCAAAAGTTAACTTGTATAATCTATTAATGACATTGTTTTAAGTGTAAATAGAATGACACATGTCAAGCAAAAAAGAGAGAAGGTCCAAAGGAGAAGGTTAGAGAGAAGGTTGCTAGCATTCTCCTTTGGTTTGATTTGGTCTCTGCAGAAAATGTGGTGCAATTTCTTGATTGACTTGTCAGAAAGAATGCCAAGACTACCAGTTCGTTAAACTTAGCGTGTTGTCTTCGACGGCGACTTTGAAATTGAAACAACCTGCATAACAAGTTTAACTTATCTTCTACTCCTAACTAGTAGCACTAGCCGATCCAAATTTTTTTTAGCGGATGTGCAATTTTGATAGGCTAAAAACTCTTTGTGGATTGAACATCTAACTGTTTTTGAAACTGAAACAGCCTGCATCATAACAAGTTCAACTTATCTTCTACTTCTAACTACTAGCCAGCCAGTAACTTTATTGAAAAGCACTTACAAATTACAATACTAATTTTAGTGGCTGATTTGGATATTAGCATTGATCAGCATATCATTCTTTATTATTACTTTACTCAATACACCATCACTTGCTCTATGCTATGCATAGTATTGTGGCTAATTAGCTTGACTCTGTTGTTTTTGGTTGCTCTGTCTGACTCTGAGTACTTGTTGCGGATGCAAACGGATTCGGCGGCATGATCAGGTTTTCAGAGGCTCCTTCTAGCATTCTAACAACTGCTTTCATGGAAGGCCGATTCACCGGGTACCACTGGATGCACCAAAGTGCAACCATCACTAGTTTCTTAGCAATCTCAGCATCCTCATCCGTCTTTATTAGCTCCAAATCCAATGCTTCTCCTTGAATGAGACATTTATAAATCAATTCGGGCAAGTAGGCCTCATTGGTGGTGCTAGATGTAAAAGCAGCTTCCTTCCTAGCTCCAACAATTTCAAGCACTAGCATCCCAAAACTATACACATCTGACTTGTGGGACACGCTTCCAAAGTTCCCATTGAACACTTCTGGTGCAATGTAGCCTACTGTGCCTCTAGCGGCAGTCATAGATATAATGCTGTCTTCCTTGGAGCACAGTTTAGCCACACCAAAATCAGAGATCTTTGGATTGAAGTCATGGTCTAGCAAGATGTTATGAGGCTTGATGTCGAAGTGGAGGATCCTCTGTTCACACCCTTGGTGAAGATACTCAATTCCCTTTGCTATACCTTTGACAATGTTGTCAAGTTTCTCCCAATCGAACAAAGCATTATTAGATTGATCTTTAGACGAGAATGAGATGAACTTCTCCAGGGACCTGTTTGGCATGAGCTCATAAATAACTGCACGCTTGCCTGCTTCAGCAGAAAATCCGAGTAGGCGAACCACGTTAACATGGTGAATTCTGCCAATGGTTCCCACTTCGTTAACGAAATCATCCCCATTTCCCTTAGAATCACTGAGGACTTTTACGGCAACTGGAACTCCATTGGGAAGCTTTCCCCTGAAAACGCTTCCAAAACCGCCTTCCCCTAACTTCTTCTTAAATCCATTTGTAATCTTCTTTATATCAGCATAAGAGTATCTTGTTGGTACACGAGATTTGTGATCATTTAGAAACTTTTCAACCTTCATTTGATTCTCCTTTTCCTCTATGCTATTTCTTTGTTGTTTTACATAGAAGAAAATTGCCACCGCCATTACTGATATGAGCACAAAACAGCAAGCCAAACCCACTCCTATAATTATATGCCTAGTCGATACATGACCTGAAACTGCAAGGTGTAAAGTTAAACAAATTGATCAAATTTCAGGAAAATTATTTTGTTTTGCGATTTTGTGAAGACTAAGTAAGTCATGTTAAATAATCGGGCTGCATATAGTAGACAAGTACGAACCTTGGGGATATTGTAGGGGATATTGTTCGGGATCTGGATGGATAGGGTAACACTCCATTTGATTGGCGGTGTAATTGAATTCGCAGCTTCCTCTTTCTTCTGTACAGTTTTGACATTGTGGGAAATATTCCGTTGATTCCCATTCTAGCAATAAAACATTGTCCGGTTCACAGTGGTACTTGTGGCCATTATTTTCATCAACAACTCTTCGTAGTGGAAGAAGGAGTTTCGTCGAACTCAAAGTACTGCACGTTGGCACTGGCAAGTCAATGACAGAAGTTGAGGGTGGAACTGCAAGAACTTGATGCCCTGGGGCACTAAGACATGTGATGGGCACGTAGGCTTTGAACTCGAACCTGAACTCTTGTGTGCTAAAGTTTTGTGCAGTGGAACAATTTAATAAGGTATATTTCTTGAAGTGGGGATAAGATCTGACATATTCAGAAAGGGAAACATCGTAAGCGCAACTGTACATGGCTGCATGACCAGAAGGGCGGTACATAGCTGGTTGAAAGAGGGAGCTTTTGGAGATTGTAAAATTAAGAAGGCGTCTCGGAAGGCAACCATCTGCATCATCATCATCGTAGACCTCGAAACTTTGGATCATGTAGTCAATGTTTCGGATGGGAAACAATCCTGATGATGGTGAGAGCTGAATCATTGTCATGTTGTTGACACAAAAAACCTCAAATTCTGGATGGCCACAGTGACGGGGATGGTGTTTTAGACGGAATGGAAACTGGATAACTGGGCCATCATCAGCATGGCCTCCGCCACTGCACTTTGAAATTGGACAATCCTCGATGCCATGGTCATCTGCTGCTGCTGCTAATTCTCTCATGGTCATCATCATAAGCAAGAAAAACAGAGGCAGCGGTAGCAGCATCAGGACATCCATATGGATTTATTTTACTGATGTTTAGGGAGATAGTCGTTAGTTAACTTAAGGCCAATGAACGAATTGATGCACTTTTGGACTTGGGAGGCTGCATTGCATAGAGAGAGATGTACGCACAGCCATGTCCACGAAACGAAATTTAGTTGCGCCTTATCACTTGACTGACTTGGTGGATCAACTCAGCACATCATAGTCATTGGTCATTGATGATGTTTGACTCTTCATTCTATTGTAGTGTAACTTTCTTGGCAAGTGGGAAGCATCTAAATATCTTCCTTCACCCAATGGTCATGTGGATCCTGTTCCTCCTGCCTTGCACTCGTACTTTCCTGTGTAAAAACAACAAACAAAGTGCATCAATCAGCAGCAAATAGATTGGTAGCTCAGAAGAGTATGAAGAATCCAACCTAAAACTTGCACCCATAAATTTCTCTCTGTCTCCCTCAGTTTTCCTATTATCTAAAAACCAAGCTCTTAATGATGCCAGCAAAAAGTATCTGGTTTACAAGCTGTGCTATAGCTATTTGCTTTGTAATTTGCCATCATGACATTGCCAATGGAGAAAAATACTGTCCTCCTGTCTCTTGTGGGGATCTACGTGACATTCGATATCCTTTTCGCTTGAAAACTGCTTCTGATCTTAATTGCCTCAACCATCCAGCTGAGTTATCATGCCAGCAAAACCGGACCACTTTGAATCTCTACAATGGTATGTATTATGTCACGGAAATCAACTACGACAAGTTTACAATCCGAGTTGTGGATCCTGGTCTGCTCGACGATGCCTCTTGCCCCTTCAGGCCACTCTACAGTTTAACAACTCGTAATATCAGCGTTTATGAATATGGTGCATCATACATGTTTGATGATTATAATCATTATGCATCCTTCTTTGATTGCTCGTTGCCAGTTGAGTCCCCGGACTATGTACAAATCAACTGCAGTAGCAGTACTACCAACTCATCATCTACAACTTCATATTCTTATATTATGCTGGGAGATGGCGTGGACAATCTTAAATCTTCTTGTAGTCTGACCACCGTCATTCCAACCAAGTCATTAAAAACTAGGGGCGCCCTTTCATTTTCTTTCATCCGAGATCAATTGAAAACCGGTTTAGAGCTTTCATGGGTACTAATTCTCCCCGAAAACTTCTGCTACACCCAACACCAATCCCTTTATTGTGAGTATGTTTTGTGTGACTGGACATTCTTCAAGTTAATTTTATGATTTAGAACGCAGATTCTTTTTCTTCTTCAATCTCTTATTGATACTGATGAACTTTGCAGGTTTCGGTGAAAACATTAAGCGTGGTAAGTTTGACTCACACCACTTTTTCTACTAGCTAGTGTTTTATGTCACTGAAACTTCTGAGTTAATTTCCTTTTCTTGAACCTAAATCATTCCTCCATTGATTCTGTTTTTCACACAGGTTTCATAGTGGCCGCCAAGAACTTTGGTAAGTCCTTTTCAAGAATATACTTTAAAAAGGTGAAACATTCGCCTGCTATTGCAGATCACACACACACACACACACACACACACACTGGCGGATCCAAAATTTTTTTAGCAGAGGTGCAATATTGACTAAGTATGAAAATTGGTTTTTTGGAATAATCATTTTCTCAAGATAATTTTTGGCGGCTTTTATTTCTTACACATAAAATAAGAAAACTTGATTTTATGAGATTTTAGTATGAAGTATATATTGACTTAATGAGCCATCATTTTTAGCATAAATCATATTTTGCACTAAAACCGAATTTTCATATTTTGATTTGGTGGGAATTTGATTTTCTAGTATTTTTATTTGAATCCAAATGAGGGGTACTTCCTTATTTACATTGTAAACTTAAGTAAATGGAGTAATATAAAAATAAATAAAAGTAAAAGGACAAAGACATTTACTTAAGTGTTGAAGATGAAAATAAGGTAATCTAGCAAAGAGGCAATTTGAAGCACTTACAATGGTTTCTCCGGCTAGGGGAGGTGCAGCTGCACCTCTTTGCGCCTTACTAGATCCGCCAGTGCACACACACACATATATATATATATCAATGAACAAGTAAGAGTATGCCAACATTCATCATTTTCTATGTGCTTCACCTTTCATATCTCCATTATATACTCTCTGTATCCAATTTCCATTAAAACTGCCTGGTCATGGAAAGTGTTTCTGAAGTAGCTGAGTCTAAAGCATAAAATGTTTCTGAAGCCAGCAATGCATAAATGGATTTTGAAAACCGAAGTTCCTATGGCAGGATGAATTTCTAATACCTGCTTGTATTCTTATGGCAGGATGGTTTCTGACGGCACGAATGACACTCGGAATTTTTGTTTTGTTGGGTTTCTGTAGCTACAAACTGTATTGGAAAAAGTTCCCCATGCATGCTGCAGTTGAAGAATTCTTGCATGCTTGCAGGAATCTTATGAGAAGAAAGTATTCAGATATTAAGAAAATGACAATTGAGTTCAAAAATAAACAAAGTCAGGAAGGCTACTGGAAAAAGTTATTAAATGATGCTGTTCAAAAATTCTTTGATGCTTGCAAGAATCTCAGAAGAAGAAGGTACTCATATTCAGATATTAAGAAAATGACCATTGAGTTAAAAATTAAACTCAGTGAGAAGGGCTATTGGAAAAAGTTGCTAAATGATGCAGTTGAAGATGTTAAGGAGACGGTATTTGATTTCAAACGTAAACTGAGACAAGGAGGCTATTGTAAAAAGTTCATAAAGGATGATGCAGTTGAAGAGTTCTTGGATGCATACAAGAATCTTATGCCAATAAGGTATTCATATTCAGATATTAAGAAGATGACAAAAAATTTTAAAGATAAACTGGGCCAGGGAGGCTTTGGTTCTGTTTTCAAGGGAGAGCTGTCAAATGGTCATCTTGTTGCAGTAAAGATGTTGAGTGGCTCCAAAGGTAAAGGGCAAGATTTCATCAATGAAGTTGCCACAATAGGAAGAATTCATCATGTCAATGTGGTGCAGCTGATTGGCTTTTGTTCTCAAGGACCAAAAAGAGCTCTTGTCTATGACTTCATGCCTAATGGATCCCTAGACAGCTACATCTTTCCAGACAGAGGAAAAATTATTCTTCTTAGTTGGAATAGCATGCTTGAGATAGCTCTCGGGGTGGCTCGTGCAATTGAATATCTGCACCAGGGATGTGATGTGCAAATTCTACATTTTGATATTAAACCCCACAACATTCTTCTTGATGAAAACTTCACTTCAAAGATTTCAGACTTTGGGCTTGCAAGATTTTACCCTAGAGATAATAACACTGTTTCTCTTACTGCTGTAAGAGGCACAATGGGATATATAGCTCCAGAAATGTTCTACAGATCCGTTGGAGGCGTTTCGTACAAATCTGATGTTTATAGCTTTGGAATGTTGTTATTGGAAATGGCAGGACGGAGAAAGAACTTGAATGCACATGCAGAAAATTCAAGCCAGATATACTTCCCTTCTTGGATATATGAGCAACTAGAAAAGGGATTGAGCATTGAAATTGAGGATGGCTGTGAGTATGAAAAGAAAATAGCCAAGAAAATGGTCATGGTTGCATTGTGCTGCATACAGTTGATGCCTGTCAATCGCCCTTCTATGAGCAAAGTTGTAGAGATGCTTGAAGGTGACGTCGAACTCTTGCAAATGCCTCCGAAACCTTTCTTCTGTCCACAAGAGATGCCAATGGAGGATCCACCTGATGAGACGGATGTTGCAGAGGTGTCTACCATGCCACATGATAGTGCTACAGAAACGATCTCCATGGTGTAAGGGGAATACAGTGCAATATTTAGTCTTGTAATAATTGATACCACTTTCTTTTACAGTTAGTAAGAAAGAAAAGTCGTATCATTCTCTTTGTATGATCTAATGCCATCACGGGTCATGTCTTCCAACAACACCTTTGTGGTGATGAATTGGTGAATTTAATGCATGTTTGAAAGTATGCGAAAGACCAAGCAACGTCTCAATCTAATTAAATAGTTCATTCATTTTCCATTTGGTTTGGTCTTTGCAGAAAATGTGGTGCAATTTCTGGATTGACTTGTCAAAAAATGCTAAGACCAGCAGTTTCAGCCACTGAAAATTTGTGAGTTCCTGGCGGGGATATAATCTCCAATTATTATTATTATCCTTTTCTTTCATAATCTTTTATCTTTTTCTTGAAGGCTGAAAAGAAAATAAAAGGAGGAAAAAAATTTCTGCATCATCGGGTCAAGTCTTCCAACAAAACTTGGTTGTTTCTTGCGTCGTGATTATTGGTTTGGTTTGAATTTTCCATTTGGTTGAAAAGTATGCAAAGTCTCAATCTAATCAAGTTGACTCATTTTCCATTTGGTTTGGTTTGGTCTCTGCAGAAAATGTGGCGCAATTTCTGGATTGACTTGTCAGAAAGAATGCTAAGACTTGCATTTTTTAAACTCGGCGTGTTGTCTCCGTCGGCGACTTTGAAACTGAAACAAGCTGCAGCATAACAAGTTTAACATACCTTCTACTTCTAACTACTAGCCAACCCGTAACTTTATTGAAAAGCACTTACAAATTACAGTACTAATTTTAGTGGCTGATTTGGATATTAGCATTGATCAGCATATCATTCTTTATTATTACTTTACTCAAAACATCATCACTTGCTCTATGCTATGCATAATAGCGAGGCTAATTAACTTGACTCTGTTGTTTTTGGTTGCTCTAAAAGAAAAAAGCGGGAAGAAAGAACAAGAAGAAACATTAATGTTGAGTTTATCTTTTCATCCTCCGACCTTAGCAACCTTTCTGTGCTCAATTTGCCCGGTAAGAGGGCATTGCATCTCTGTCCAGCTTATTGGCACCATTGTTGCACCTACAATGAACAATTAGAAAACCACATATGAGCCAACATCATTTAGATTTGATAGGGTTACTAGCTAGATGCCCATGCACACATTAGATGAGGATAAAAAACAAAAGGCTGTATACTAACAAAAGTTCATATACCTGCCGTGACCAAACTCTTTGTTTTATGATGTGAAACTCCCAACTCACATCTTTGTTTTTCTTTTGAATTGTAACAAAAATTTGCACCCGAGTTCCTGTGTTCAATTTCCCACCACCTCCCCAATATTGTTTATATAAAATAAAAATAAAAACAAATGTAACCCGCCAGCCAGTTGGGCTCATGCTGGGCCCACCAATTGTTGGGATTGAAACCCCTCGATTAAATTCTTAGCCCAACGTGCAGCACTTAAGCCCAACCTTTTTTCCTAGCAAGGAGGCCTTGGGCCTGGCCGTGACCAGACCACAAAGTTTGATGGTGGGTGGTCAGCTTGGTCCGTTGACGATTGACTCATAGACTGACATTATTATTGCATACGTGGCACTTTGGAATTGTGTGCATTTTGGGTGAGAACGAACAAGTGAAAGAAAACAGTTTTGCCTTTTCTTATGTTGTTGTATGGAAAATGTATGTGAAAAAGCTCGAGATTTATAAACCTTTAAGCTTGGATTTCACGTGACAAAGCTACAAAAAAGGAGGCCTTTTTCTTGCTGCATGCCAATGCATCATGCATGATAAAATAAGCAGCTGACCAGTCAAAAGAACAAAAAAGGCATGGCACCTCCATAATAATCTCTCTCTCACCTGCACATATGATATATAATTATACAGCAAGCAATCAAGCAAGGAGATTAACATCACTTTACATTAATTTAATTCATAAAAGTAGACACACATACATACTGAATATTTCAAGTTCAGAACTGGCATGGCATGGCAGCTGCTACTACATATATATATATATATATATATATATATATAAACCAGAAGCTAAAAAGATTTAATGGGGCTGCTCTGCACAAATGATCACTAGCTTAGCTTATTAGTAAGATCATGGCCGTTGATCATGAAGAGTCGAATTTGCTGTAACATCTTGAAGCCTGTTAATAGACAGAGCTCTGAGCTTCAATGTATACTTGTAACGTCAACAAAATAACATTTTAAAAACACAACTACAACCACAACCAACTTCACCAGACAAGCTACAAACTGAACTCTACAAGATAAATGCAGCGCCTTTGCGGTCATTATCGAAAATGGGCCGTCTCCAGCTCGGTGTTGATGTTGGACAGTCGGGTCATCCACCACAAAACGGATGAGACTCGAGTAAAGGACCAGCCAATGAAAAAAAAAAGACAAACAGTCACGTTGTACTATTTCGATATCTAGACACGTAGCAAATTGTGATTGGCAAGAGCACGTAAATAACATCACAGTTGCCTCTTTCAGCAGAAAAACCAAGTAGACGAACCGCGTTAAGTCTGAGTTAATTAATCTAATGATGCACCTATCATCGGGTCAAGTCTTCCAACAAAACTAAGAATGCAGAAAATGTGGCGCAATTTCTGGATTGACTTGTCAGAAAGAATGCTAAGACTTGCATTTTTTAAACTTGGCGTGTTGTCTCCGACGGCGACTTTGAAACTGAAACAAACTGCAGCATAACAAGTTTAACTTATCTTCTACTACTAACTACTAGCCAACCAGTAACTTCATTGAAAAGCACTTACAAATTACAATACTAATTTTAGTGGCTGATTTGGATATTAGCATTGATCACTTGCTCTATGCTATGCATAGTAGCGTGGCTAATTAACTTGACTCTGTTGTTTTTGGTTGCTCTGTCTGACTCTGAGTACTTGTTGCGGATGCAAACGGATTCGGCGGCATGATCAGGTTTTCAGAGGCTCCTTCTAGCATTCTAACAACTGCTTTCATGGAAGGCCGATTCACCGGGTACCACTGGATGCACCAAAGTGCAACAATCACTAGTTTCTTACCAATCTCAGCATCCTCATCCGTCTTTATTAGCTCCAAACCCAGTGCTTCTCCTTGAATGAGACATTTATAAATCAATTCGGGAAAGTAGCCCTCATTGGTGGCGCTAGATGTAAGAGCAGCTTCCTTCCTAGCTCCAACAATTTCAAGCACTAGCATCCCAAAACTATACACATCTGACTTGTGGGACACGCTTCCAAAGTTCCCATTGAACACTTCTGGTGCAATGTAGCCCACTGTGCCTCTAGCGGCAGTCATAGATATAATGCTGTCTTCCTTGGAACACAGTTTAGCCACACCAAAATCAGAGATCTTTGGATTGAAGTCATGGTCTAGCAAGATGTTATGAGGCTTGATGTCGAAGTGGAGGATCCTCTGTTCACACCCTTGGTGAAGATACTCAATTCCCTTTGCTATACCATTGACAATGTTGTCAAGTTTCTCCCAATCGAACAAAGCATTATTAGATTGATCTTTAGACGAGATGAACTTCTCCAGGGACCTGTTTGGCATGAGCTCATAAATAACTGCACGCTTGCCTGCTTCAGCAGAAAACCCCAGTAGACGAACCACGTTAACGTGGTGAATTCTGCCAATGGTTCCCACTTCGTTAATGAAATCATCCCCATTTCCCTTAGAATCACTGAGGACTTTTACGGCAACTGGAACTCCATTGGGAAGCTTTCCCCTGAAAACGCTTCCAAAACCGCCTTCCCCTAACTTCTTCTTAAATCCATTTGTAATCTTCTTTATATCAGCATAAGAGTATCTTGTTGGTACACGAGATTTGTGATCATTTAGAAACTTTTCAACCTTCATTTGATTCTCCTTTTCCTCTATGCTATTTCTTTGTTGTTTTACATAGAAGAAAATTGCTACCGCCATTATCGATACGAGCACAAAACAGCAAGCCAAACTCACTCCTACAATTATATGCCTACTCGATATATGACCTGAATAAATGAGGAGAAAATTAACAAAGGGACTTAAAATAGGAGAGTCATTTTGTTTTTGTCCCTGGCAAGCCATATCTTGAACACAACAAATTTCTCAAAAAGTTCACCCCGTGGTGTTATGCATATATTGCATCTAATTTTAAAGGTAGACTACATACCTCTTGGTTTGTGTGGGGGAATGAAAGGATGGCACTTCAACATTTCATTGCTGCTATAATTGAAATAGCAGTCTTCCATTCTTCTATTACAGTTTTGACACGCTGGGAAATCCCACAGATCCCATAGCAGCCATAAAACGTTGTCCGGTTCACAGTGGTGCATATTAGCATTCACTCTTCGTAGTGGAAGATAGAGTTGTCTCAAACTAGTGCAAGTAGGCACCGGCAAGTCAGCCTTAGTAGTTTCCGGCACAGCAGCAATAACTTGATAATGCCCTGGGACACTGAGACATCTGACGGGAAAGTAGCTACCATAGTTCATCTCCGTACTAAAATTTTGTGCAGTGGAACAATTTAATAACGTGATCTTCGAATTATCCCCATGATATCTATACATGCAAGAGTAGTAATTTAGGCGATAATATATTGCTTGTTGAAAGAGTGAGTTGGTGGAGATAGTAAAATTAAGAAGGCGTCTGGGAAGGCAACCATCTGCATCGTATATGCTGAAGGATTGTGCTTCATAATCAATATTTTGAATGGGAAGCAGTCCTGAAGATGAAGAGAGCTTCATCATTGTCAAATTGTTGAAGCTGCTGCTGCAAACAACCTCAAACTCTGGATGGCCACAGTGAGGTGGATAGTGTTTCAGACGGAATGGGAACTTGATATCGGGACCATCATCCCTACACCTTTGAATTGGGCAGTCACGAGAATCATCAGCTGCTTTGCTTGGTACAACAATGGCCACGGGGAACACAATAAGCACGAAAAACAAAGGCAAGAGCAGGACATCCATCTCCTCTACTCTTCTTTAGCCAGGCAGGACCCAAGCCAGTTAGTTATTATCAGATCTAAGTTTCTGCCTCATATTAAAAAAGTCGTTGGTCCATTCACATCCATCATTTTTCTTATTTCTTATTTGATTAACATTTATTAGATGAGTTTGGACGCTACATGCCGACTGTCCACGCAGCATATATTGTGCCTGCCTTATCATTTGACTCTGAGCAGTTGACTTGGTGTATGGTACGATTGTAGCTGTCATCTCTAAAGTAACTTTCTTGGCAAGTGCAAGGACTGAGTTTCTTCCATCCAGCCTGAAACTTGTAATGATAAGTATTCTTTCTTTTTTCTTTCTCCCTTATTACTATGAATCTATGATCTCATCTCAACCCTCGCAAGTCGCAATGGTGAGAAGAATCTGGTTATTAACATGTACTGTCGTAGCTATTTGCTTTGTAATTATTCCTGATGCGGCCAAAGGAGAACTCTGTCAGCCTGCTTCTTGCGGGGATTTCCTTGACATTAGATACCCTTTTCACTTGAAAAATGCTTCTCCTCATCAGAATTGTCTCAAGACTCTCGACTATCCAGCTGAACTGTCATGCCAGCATAACCGCACCATTTTAAATCTATACGATGGTACGTATTATGTCAAGGCAATTGATTATGAACTATTTAGAATCCGACTTGTGGATCCTGGTCTGCTAAGCGATGGTTGCTCCATTAGGCCACTCCGCAGTTTAACAGAAGATAACTTTATCCCGTACTATACTCCAGGCCGATACTACCCAGTTTCCATCCATTATGTAGCCTTCTTCGATTGCTCGTTTCCAGTTGAGTCTCCTGACTACATAAACATCACTTGCAGTAGCTCATCTACAACTTTGTATTCTTATGTTACAGTGGCAGATGGGGTAGATGATCTTCATTCTTCTTGTAATATGTCAACGATCATTTTAAGGAATTATGAAGAAACTGGGAAGGCGCTTTCATTTTCTTCCATACATGATGAGTTGAGACAGGGTTTTGAGCTTTCATGGTTGCAATTTCTCCCCGATAAGTACTGCTACAGTCCATCCCAATCGCACTACTGTGAGTATGTTTAATGTTTTGATCAGTTTCTCCTCTTATGTGAGGTCGATTTCTGTGCTTTTGAAAATTATGGTAGTTTTTATGCATATATCTCTAGTGATCAAGGGTATGCTATCTATAGTCCAATGCAGTAAAATTTTGATGGAGGAGGTGGGGTATCACTACGAGCAGTTTTGCGCATGTGTGACTGACTGGCCATGCATGTTTCTTGAATCACTTTTCGATTTTATAATCTAGAATGCATATATTATTTTCTTCTTGAAATTAATCTCTTATTGACACCAGTGGTACTTTGCAGGTTTTCGTGAGTACTTGAAACGGGGTAAGTTTGATTACCACCAGTTTTTGTACTGTGTTAGAATTTTCTTAATGGTGGTTAATGTTGTGAGTTTTTAAATGGTAGTTGATGATGTGAGTTGCACCTAAATCATTTCTCCATTGATTCTCATTTCACGCAGGTTTCACACGAGCCGCCAAGATCTCTGGTAAGTCTTTTTCAAGAACATAAAAGGTTAAATTAACTTGGAAAGAACATATAATAAGGAAAAAAGAGCATCAAAGCATTTAGACATATAGAGATCAAGATTCCAGATTGAACTTTAAGAACCTGCTTGTGTTGTTATTATGGCAGGATTGAGTCTGATGGCACGAATGGTACTCGGCATTATTTTTTTGTTGGCTTTCTGGAGCTACAAACTGGATTGGAAAAAATTCCTAAAGGATGATGCAGTTGACAAATTCTCGCTCGCATGCAATGATCTTATGAGAAGAAGGTACTCATATTCAGATATTAAGAAGATGACCATTGATTTCAAAATTAAACTCAGTCAGGGAGCGTACTGGAAAAAGTTCATAAAGGATGATGCAGTTGAAGAGTTCCTGGATGCATACAAGAACCTTATGCCGAGAAGGTATTCCTATTCAGATATTAAGAAGATGACAAATGATTTTAAAGATAAACTGGGCCAGGGAGGCTTTGGCTCTGTTTTCAAAGGAGTGCTGTCAAATGGTCATCTTGTTGCAGTAAAGATGTTGAGTGGCTCCAAAGGTAAAGGGCAAGATTTCATCAATGAAGTTGCCACAATAGGAAGAATTCATCATGTCAATGTGGTGCAGCTGATTGGCTTTTGTTCTCAAGGACCAAAAAGAGCTCTTGTCTATGACTTCATGCCTAATGGATCCCTAGACAGCTACATCTTTCCTGACAGAGGAAAAAATATTCTTCTTAGTTGGGATAGCATGCTTGAGATAGCTCTCGGGGTGGCTCGTGCAATTGAATATCTGCACCAGGGATGTGATGTGCAAATTCTACATTTTGATATTAAACCCCACAACATTCTTCTTGATGAAAACTTCACTTCAAAGATTTCAGACTTTGGGCTTGCAAGATTTTACCCTAGAGATAATAACACTGTTTCTCTTACTGCTGTAAGAGGCACAATGGGATATATAGCTCCAGAAATGTTCTATAGATCCATTGGAGGCGTTTCGTACAAAGCAGACGTTTATAGCTTTGGAATGTTGTTATTGGAAATGACAGGACGTAGGAAGAACTTGAATGCACATGCAGAAAATTCAAGCCAGATATACTTCCCTTCTTGGATTTATGAGCAACTAGAAAAGGGATTGAGCATTGAAATTGAGGATGGCTGTGAGTATGATAAGAAAATAGCCAAGAAAATGGTCATGGTTGCATTGTGCTGCATACAGTTGATGCCCGTCGATCGCCCTTCTATGAGCAAAGTTGTAGAGATGCTTGAAGGTGATGTCGAACTCTTGCAAATGCCTCCAAAACCTTTCTTCTGTCCACAAGAGATGCCAATGGAGGATGCACCTGATGACACAGATGTTGCAGGGGTGTCTACCATGTCACATGATAGTGCTACAGAAACGACCTCCATGGTTTATGGGAATACAGTGCAATATTTAGTCTTGGAATAACCAGAGATGCTCTGAATAGATATACTATCTGCCCACTGTAACCCACATCTGTTGAGCATTTATAATTTCGTTGATCAGAAGCATTTTTATTTTACTTGGAAAATAAAAACTTCGGTTAATCTCAATTTTGTTCATGAACTCTAAACTCAAATGAATGAATCGTGATACTGGATGAGAGAAATGTCGAATGCACCTTCCAACTGTGGTACCTACTTCTGACTTTAACCAATGCCCCTTGACACCAAATCGTATATCAAACTACCATAATTTCTGACTTTAACAACCAAAATCCCTGAGTACACTTTATCTATAAGAAATTTCAAGGCTACCGACTCTCTAGTAAAAAGAAAAAAGCGGGAAGAAAGAACAAGAAGAAACATTAATGTTGAGTTTATCTTTTCATCCTCCGACCTTAGCAACCTTTCTGTGCTCAATTTGCCCTGTAAGAGGGCATTGCATCTCTGTCCAGCTTATTGGCACCATTGTTGCACCTACAATGAACAATTAGAAAACCACATATGAGCTAACATCATTTAGATTTGATAGGGTTACTAGCTAGACGCCCATGCACACATTAGATGAGGATAAAGAACAAAAGGCTGTATGCTAACAAAAGTTCATATACCTGCTGCACTCTGGGCAGAAATAACACCTAATTCGTTCTTTGCAGTTGACAGATAATAAGCCCTAGCGTCTCCAAGGGACAGCTTATCGAAAGAATCAAAGAAACTGTTGAATATGATAATTGATATCATGAATTTCACCCAAAAGAAATATAGATATTTTGGAATAAGCATATAGCAGAATGAAGCAAAGCAGAGAAGAAAAAACTTATATTCAAACAATATTAATCCTCACAAAGAAAACGTTTATTGATGGCAGTAATAAGAAATTAGGAATGGGCATGCCACTTCAAAGAATAGGACTTCTTCAACGGACTAACACCTAACCAGATTTGCATCGAGGGGAAAAGGTTGTAAAATAACTTATTAACATCTAAGAAACACCAAGCCTTTATGTACTACTTAGTTTGGTCTCAAATTATCTTTAAATAAAAGCTGCACAGCAGTGGGATCATCAGATTGAATATTACAATCTCTTTCACCAAACAATAACCGAGACATTCCACACATAAAGGATACCACAACAGCTCTGACAATGTCACCAGGGTGAAAAGACATGTGCATATCCACTTTATCGATCTCGGTTGCTCGAACATCTTGAAGCCTGTTAATAGAACGAGCTCTGAGCTTTAATGTATACTTGTAAAGTCAACAAAATAACAATTTTAAAACAGAAGGCAAGCTACAAACTGAATACTAGAAGATAAATGCCACACCTTTGAGGTAACTGTTGAAAAGGAATGTTACGTACCTGATTATACCGGTAAATTTTTCTCGGACAGACTTAGTGCCAAGACACATAATATCAGCAGAAGCCATTCTTGCCATAACTTTGGTAACCTACCATAATCAGAAAAATACAGGGCAAGGTTTATATATATGAATCAGTCCGACAATCTGCCTCCTAATTGAAGCAGGAAAGCTATGTAATCATGCTGTTGTTGATGATCCCTTACTCTAGCAATGACAATTGATCCAGGCTCTGGAATGGCACCGTGGGCCTTGTGACCAGTTACTTCCACAGTGGGTCTCTACAAATCATAAAACTCAATGTCATCAATGGAAATGCCAAGACCACCACATCATTAAATTCACACATTCAGAATTTAAGAGCCATGTAATACAAAAGGGTAGGGACAGTTCTTAAATGGAGTACTCATAAGTAAGTTTAGGATTGTTCATGTCTGAATTTTACATCTACTGTAATCGGTGAACATCCAATTCCAATATTAAAAAGTTGAGAATTTCAGGCCAGAGTAAACCAAAAATTCAAACTTTCAACTGTTAAACTAATTTTCTCAATCTTCGTAGGTTTGTGGGTAGAGAAACAGAAGGAAAGCTGATAAGTACCTGGTCGGGTGAGTCGGGAGGTGGGGATATGATGCGGCGGAGTCCAGTGAGGGAAGCATAGACGGTGAGATTGTCCGGCGACACGTAGGCACCTCTGCCTGCTTTAAACTTGGAGGCTTTCCCAAGCACTTCCCCTGGGCTCACCCACTCACTATCTTCTCCCATTCTCAACTCAACAGCAGCGCTGCGGCAGCTTAGCCTTTCTACAAACACGCACACACATACACCACTTCTCTACTTGCTTAGCGGCGGGACGGACGAACGCTTGCTTTGCTTCTCTTTTCCCCTTTTTTTCTTTTTAATTTTTTAATTGGGATTCACTTTCTTTCTTTCTGTATTTTAGAAAAGTAGCTTGTATTTTATTTCCTAATTTTTTATTTATCAATGTGGCTAGCTTATAACGCTTTTCGAGATTATTACTTGGAAAATCACAAACTCTTTGTTTTATGATGTGAAACTCCCAATTCACATCTTTGTTTTTCTTTTGAATTGTAGCTCAATTTGCACCCGAATTTCCCACCACCTCCCTAATATCGTTTATATAAAATAAAAATAAAAACAAATGTAACCCACCAGCCAGTTGGGCTCATGCTCGGCCCACCAATTGTTGGGATTGAAACCTTGATTAAATTCTTAGCCCAACATGCAGCACTTAAGCCCAATCTTTTTTCCTAGCAAGGAGGCCCCGGGCCAACGGATTGAGATGCGGACCACAAAGTTTGATGGTGGGTGGTCAGCTTGGTCCGTTGACGATTGACTCATAGACTGACATTATTATTGCATACGTGGCACTTTGGAATTGTGTGCATTTTGGGTGAGAACGAACAAGTGAAAGAAAACAGTTTTGCCTTTTCTTATATTGTTGTATGGAAAATGTATGTGAAACCTTTAAGCTTGGATTTCACGTGACAAAGCTACAAAAAAGGAGGCCTTTTTCCAGCTGCATGCCATGCATCATGCATGATAAAATAAGCAGCTGACCAGTCAAAAGAACAAAAAAGGCATGGCAGCTGCACTGCACCTCCATAATAATCTCTCTCTCACCTGCATATATGATATATAATTATACAGCAAGCAATCAAGCAAGGAGATTAACATCACTTTACATTAATTTAATTCATAAAAGTAGACACACATACATACTGAATATTTCAAGTTTAGAACTGGCATGGCATGGCAGCTGCTACTACATCTACATATATATATATATATATATATATATAAACCAGAAGCTAAAAAGAATTCATGGGGCTGCTCTGCTCAAATGATCACTAGCTTAGCTTATTAGTAAGATCATGGCCGTTGATCATGAAGAGTCGAATTTGTAGTGCTTATCAACGGCAACGGAGACGTCCCAAGTGCAACTAAGGCCTTTGGGGATGGTGACAAGGTCCCCTGCACCAAACTCAACAACATCCTGATGATGATGATGATGATGAGATGAAGATGATGAGGAGGAGGCTGCTGCTTTCTTAGGATATACCTTCACTTTGCCTTTTACCAGATAACATGTCTCTGCTGCGTCAAACTTGAGTGTGTACTTCCCCGGTGGACACCCCCATCTATAAATAATAATTACAATTAAAAAAAAATCAAAAAATATATATGATCTGAAATCATATCATATCTAATGAATTTTATGAAATTCAATAAACTTCATGACTTGAATATAACTATCTAGACTAATTATAAAAGACTAATTACTTGGGCCATGAGTTAATGCCCAACTCAGATAAGCGCGACTCAGAGGGATTGCTTTCTACTACGATTTTTAGATTGGGAAATGAATCTGCAGAATTTGATGTTGTTGCTGCTGCTGCTGCTGCCATGGGGGAGAGAGAGAGAGAGAGAGAGAGAGAGAGAGAAGTTGAAATGAAAGAGACTGCTGGGAGGAGCGCCTGAGAAAGGAGTATATGGGGTAGTTGGCCTACTCGTTATATATATTAATATACAAGAGTGCAGAGGAATCTTTACATGAACTTAAGACAATAAACAATACAGCAAAAAGCCTAAAAAGCAAACTTCGATTTATACATTACACTAGCTTCGAAAAGAAAGGGTGAAAGGGTTGCAGGAAAAGAAAAACATATTAAAAACATATATTTTTTATCAGAGCCAGGTTTCGATCCTGGGACCTGTGGGTTATGGGCCCACCACGCTTCCGCTGCGCCACTCTGATCTGTTGATATTGAATTCAAATATAATTTTATTTAACCGTGTATATTTGAGGTAGAATAATGGGCCAAATCCCATGCGCGCAGCAGCTATGCTTGACACAGAAATAAGCCCAACCTAACAAAGGCCGGAATTATGAACAAGTATGAATTATATACTTATATAGTAATTAAACTTCCTTAATCTGAAATTGGACGGATCCAAATATATATATAACATTTTCAAAATAGGATTAGGGATCTATCCTTTTTTGTTAGGCAATAAATAATTATTTGGGTAAGACCAACAAGACCAGTATTCTAAATATATATATATATATATATATATATTAATAGTATCTTTTATAAATGCAAATTGATGTTAATGTTAAGTCATCGCATGTAAAATATCATAATTTATAGAGAGATCCTACGTACACAAATCTGACCTTGTAATGATGAACTCCTTTTTTGGTTTCTCTACCTACAAACTGACCCATAACATCTCTTATAAACAGTTAGACCCAACCCATCTATCTTGTTTTGTTAGGTAAGAAGGAGTACCTGCAAGAGTGGAAGCAGCTGGCAGGATTGTGCCTGAGGCCAAATGTAGCCGCGGCATTGATTGCTACTATCTAATCATATGTACACGCCTCAAAGTATGTGATCATGGTAAATGTATTTGCTTTGGAGGCCAACCCCTCACTCCTTTCGCAGAGGTTGAAAATGCGGAATGTTCTCTTGGCATTGAGCGCCACAAAATCAAATGTCAAGGCGCCCTCAAAGTTTGTGACCATGGCTAATGCATTTGCGGTAGTGGCCAGATAGCTCTCTTGCAAAGGAGAGAAACTCTCATATAACGTTATAACACTTTTTGTATTTCTAGTCAATAACGTAATGACACATATAATAACTTTTTCACGTGTCATTATGTTATTAGTCGAGAATCATAAAATATGTTATTATCATTATAAGTAACTTTTTTACGTATCATTATGCTCCTAACTCATCACTGGTATTTGAAGACCTCCCAATTAAATGTTCTTGTGATGATGATTGTATACCAAAAATTCCTTCTTGGACTCAACAAATTTGTGAGCATGGCATATGCACTTGTCTTTTTGGTCAACGTTAACTAAAGTTTCAATTCAACTTCCTAAGTATGTAGTTGGCTCGGCCAACTTAAAAATGAATATTGTCATCTAATACTTCAATAAGCCTATGTATTGCAGCTTTTCTTATCTAATGAATAAAAACAAAGCGCATTTCATATTTGTGTTGCTATGTTGGGGTTTAGCCGGTATGACATAATGAGTCTAGGGATAGCAATGGGTCAAGTAGGGGTCGAGTATGACAATACCATCCCCGTCTCCGCTCTCCATCCCTTCCTCCGTCCCTGAACCCATCCCCGTTTAATAGTTTTTAGGGAATCCTCGTCTCCATCGGGAGACTATCCCCCATACCCACCCTTAATCCCCGATTTTTTTTTTTTGTATAAAAAATATTTATCGTACATTTTAACATTAAGTTTCATATTAAATTATCATTCAACACATCCAAATTAACTATAAAGTTCAACTCAACTATTCAAAATCACATCAATATGAAATTCCATAGAAAATTAGAAAGAATTAGGATAGGGAAGTTAACTTAGGGTTAAACATAAATATTATAATTATATATTTATTTATTTAAATATAAACATATATGTTTTCGAGTCAAGTTAGGGAATGGGGAGGCCAATATCATTCCCTCCTCATACCCGTCGGGAATTTTTCAAGTTTGAGGATCCTCGTACTCGATATTTGTGGGGTCTCAAAATCTCCCCCCGTTATGATTAGGGACCTGATGGGAACCCGCCCTTGAGGGGATTTTTGCCATCCCTATATGAGTCTTTTCGGTTGTCATACATACTAGCTAAATCCATAATCTTGCATTGGCTAAACCCGAACCCAATGCAAGCAAACATCTTCCCCTCCTTAAAGCTCAAAACTATGTCGAATGAAGCCAACTCCTTGTGTATGTGGGCCAAAATACGATGACTATATCATGGCGACGACATCGTTTTATGGCAACTACTTCCACATCACAAAATAAACTAACAATCTTGAGAGAAAAGGGAGGAAAGGAGAAAAGAAGGGATAACAGGAGAGAGGAGGAGGAGGAGGAGGAGGTATGGAAGGGGGCCGAGGGGTAGCGGCAGCTAAGAGTGTATAGCAATCTAGTTTTTAAAATTATTTTAAATTATAAAGAATGAAATTCGAACCCTTTTTTTTTAATGTTATTATTTTTTTTTTAATCTAGCCTAATTAATCCTCGCCTGGGATACAAAAGATTTCTATCCATCCCCCTTGCTTGCTTGGTCTTATTAACTATAATTAAGGAACGCAATATGTCTCTGTCTGTCTGTCTGATGATGATGCAGCTGACACTGAAGAAGTTTTGGGGAGCAAATAACTGAAAGAGATGTTCGGGAAAAAAAAAACTGAAAGAGATGTTGGTATTATATGGTGTACGTATGTATACAAAAATGGCAGAATCAAAAATGGTTGCAGTTGTATAACAAGGTCTTTGTCTTGAATAGCCCAACTATAATAAAACAACGTGGCAATACTTTTATCAGAAAATGACACAAGAAAATAGACCCGGCCCCCTCTCTTTTCATCTTTTTATTCACGGCAAGATATTCCATTCCTCTTTAGCATAAGCTGACTAAAGTTTAATTTATTTTTTTATTTTTATACAAACGATATTGAAAGAGAAGTAATCGGATATAAGACTTCGAGTGCATATACAAATTTTTTTAACATTGTAAGGTGATATTATCAGCTGACATAATATGTCATCATTTTTTCAATATAAGTATAATTAATTAATTAATTAATCAATATTATGCACCAAAGAAATGAATAATAAAAACAAGGTGAAAAACACCATCTAGCACCAGGCAGGCAGCAGATAAAAACTTCCCTCTCTTTTCACATACTCACACGGAGCATTTTAGCAGGCAAATAGCAAATACCAAACCACTCTCTCTCTCTCTCTCTCTCTCTCTCTCTCTCTAATTTTCTTGATTGATGCGCATACTCTTCCCCCCAAACCCAATCAAAACCCCAGCTCTCTTCAACTCCATCCTCCGTCTGCGATTCAACTCGCTCCGATCCCACTGTTTCAACTCAATGGCCATACCTCCTCCGAAGTCAGCCATGGCTTCTGCTGTCGACAACGAGGTGGGTCTTGCTCGCCGCTTCTGGATCAAGTTCCACCGAGAATCGGTTTTCGCTATGTACTCTCCCTTCTCGCTCTCTTTGGCTTCCGGGAATCTCAAGATTGAAACTTTCCGCCATTATATTGCCCAAGATGTTCACTTTCTCAAGGCCTTCGCTCATGCGTGAGTTGTTGCCTTCTTTAATTTCATTTTCTTTTTTCTTTATACGAGTTTCTTTGGGTATATTTTTCTGTTGGGGTTTTTGGGACTGTTTGGTTGCTGGGAAAATGCTGTGATTGAATCTGAATCGGAATCTGAATCTGGGGTTTGCTTAGTTTTTTTAATCACTGCAAGTATTTGAGCAAATAAGGATTAAACTATGCCTTTGTTTATATGTCTATTTATCTCTAGGCGTATTTGGTTTCAGAAAAAAAGTATAGCCCAGAGTACTTATTGTAATTCTTAGACTTTTTTTTCTTCTTGTTGTCAATTTGGAAAATTTGGTTCCATTTATTAAACATTTTTTAAAGTTAGATAAAAGTTTTTAGCAACAAAAAATAAAGATTCATGAATTGCTTGAAATTGCATATTGGTAGTTTTACCCTAACACAAATATAAAGGTTTGGCGAATGCTCGTGCTTTCATTGTTGTGGTCTGTTTGATTTTGGGGAAAATATGGGAAAATATAGGAATTTGGATTGTGAATGTAGAGGCTTAATCAATAGGAGGAAAGGATATGTGGTTTGATGAAAACTCGGTATCTACTATATATTTGCCAAGACAGAGTTCTTGATTTTTCATTGTATGGATTTTACCTCTGTTTCTTTTTCTTTGCATAATCTTAGCCAAAAGGCCAAGTAAGGTATTCTTTTCCTTTATCCGTTCTTGACTTCTTGGTCTCTTTGGTTGCTGAGGAAACATAGGAAATGACAAAGAATAACCACATGCGTCTTGGACACTTTTTATTGTTTAGTAATATGCCATTTATTCTCCTATGCACCTTTCCATTCTTTGCCTTGGTATTTACATTAGGTCACCTTTTTTGTAATTTATTTTCATAATATGTCGTGAATTTTTTTATATAAAATTTTTCCCTTAAAAGTCTACCAGAAGATGAGCTAGGATTTTCAACTGAAGGGTTGTTTGGCTGCTCAGAAAAGGTCTGAAATGTAAACAAAACAAAAACAAAAAAATTTATTTTTCGTGGCTATGATGGAGAAAATTATGTGGTAATTTGGCTGAGCATAATTTAAATGATTGACTTATTTGGTTGACTTTATTGTTCTTTAATAACAGGAGTAACTAAAAATCATGATTTTCAAAATTTTGTATTCATTTCTTTTTGTCAGTTTTCTCAGCAACCAAATGGAGGGTTAGGTATTTTGCAAATATTTATGTGCGTTGAATGGGTAAGTTTTTTGTTTTTTCGTTTCCCTGCAATCCAAAATAATGTTTAGCATAGGAATACATTTTATTTCAGTTATGTTTAGAACTAGGGTAGGTGATTTACTTGTTTGATTTCCATTTATGTTTGGTTTTTTAGGTATGAATTGGCGGAAGAGTGTGCAGATGATGATGATGCAAAGGTTGCGATTTCTCTGTTGAGGAATGCTGTTCGGGAGGAGCTGAAAATGCATGATTCATTTGTGAAGGTATGATGAAGGGTTCTTTTGTCTAATATAAGAGTAGACATGTAAATTGTATTTGAATGCAACATTGCAATTAAGCGTTTATTATTATTTTTTTGTATTTTTTTTAATGTTCAAATATTGGCAGAAATTCTCTGTTTCTTACTCAGTTAAGTTACATTTTGCATTGTCTAAATATAAGAGTCATGCAGGAATGGAGTTTACATGGTGCTAAAAAGGCCGCTATCAATTCTGCAGCAGCAAAGTACATAGATTTCTTATTGGCAACAGCCTCTGGAAAAGTTGAAGGAGTTAAAGGCCCTGGTAAACTTGCAACCCCATTTGAAAAAACCAAAGTTGCTGCTTACACCCTTGGTGCTATGACTCCTTGCATGAGACTATATGCCTTTCTAGGTAAGGAGTTCAAGGCACTTCTAGATCCCAATGAAGGCAGTCACCCATACAAGAAGTGGATTGACAATTACTCTTCTGAAAGTTTTCAGGTTTGTCATATCAAGTTTTTTCACCTTGTTTTCTTATGGTCAGTCTGGTTATAATTTGCTGATTCTGTTCTAAAAGGTTCATGCATTGCATAAATGGCCTTCATTACTTCTATAGCTCAAATATTGTTATCTTTGAATTTAGGCCTCAGCTGCGCAAACCGAAGAGTTGCTCGATAAACTAAGTGTCTCTTTGACAGGCGAGGAGCTTGACATCATCGAAAAGCTTTATCACCAAGCAATGAAACTTGAAATAGAGTTCTTCTCTGCTCAGTCCCTTGTTCAGCCAACCATAGTTCCTCTGATCAAAGAACATAACCCCGCAACAGATCGCCTCATGATATTTTCTGATTTTGATTTGACTTGTACAGTCGTTGATTCATCTGCCATTTTGGCTGAAATTGCAATAGTAACAGCACCAAAATCTGATCAACATCAATCTGAAAATCAGATTGCTCGGATGTCATCCGCTGATCTCAGGAATACATGGGGCCTTCTTTCCAGGCAGTACACAGAAGAGTATGAGCAGTGCATAGAAAGCTTTGTTCCAACTGAAAAAGGTATAGTAACAATTAAGGCAATCTTGCTTGATACTCATGAATTTTCAACTTTTGTTTTGAAGGTGTGAAATTGTTACAAAAGCACCTTTATAGAGGTTACTTGCTCAGATGTGATCGTTTGACTTTCTGTGGTTTTGCAGTGGTGTTTGACTATAAAAATTTGCATAAAGCACTTGAAAAACTTTCAGATTTTGAGAAAAAGGCAAACAATAGAGTTACGAAGTCTGGAGTACTCAAGGGTCTTAATATTGAGGATATAAAAAGAGCTGGTGAACGTCTCATTCTTCAAGATGGTTGTATTAATTTCTTCCAGAAAATTGTCAAGAGTGAAAACTTGAATGCAAATGTTCATGTTCTTTCATACTGTTGGTGTGGCGATCTCATCAGGTCAGCCTTTTCATCAGGTATATTTTCCTAATGAACATTCATAAACTTTTACTTTTGTTCATGTTTTATGTGTGTGCATTACGCAGACTAAATTTACGCTTATTCTCTTGTTTTCTTGGAAGTACTATAGACAGTTTTATCGTTTTGATCCCAGTAGCTATATCTTGTATGTTTTGGACAAGCTGGTCTATATTGAAATATTATCCTTCTTTTTCCTCTGTGGAAAATGAATTGAACATGATCCTAACTGACTTTTGCTAAAGAGAAATTGATGTGAATGTATTACCTCTTTTGTAGGCGTAGTTTAACAGTCGTTTTCATAAGATGCCTTAAAGGTGATATACCTAGATTTAGGATAAAATTCTGGATCATATGAGTTATGGGAATAATTTGGTGGGTATGGATTTTTCCTTGTACATGTATATTTGAGGCCATCATTCGAAACCTTAGAATCTGACCCTTGGTGGGCATATAAGATGCCGATTGTTGACGTTTGAAGTGCATATAGTTATCACTGTGAGCAACTGTATCTTGATTTTCTCTCTTGTGTTGCCTCAGTCCTATATACGTGTGTATACATATCATCAGAACTAAGAATAAGTAATGTGTTGTTGGTTAAGATACATTATTACATTGCATCTCATTGGGACCCTTCAGCTATTTTATTGTTGGGATTCTTGCTTATGGGTTGTTTCCTTTTGATTAAGTGTCGTGTCTTTGTTCCTTTTTCCTGTGACCAAGTATAAATGATCAGCATTATCTATTTATTGACTTTTGGAGCAGGGGATTTACACGAGCTGAATGTGCATGCAAATGAGTTTACCTTTGAAGAATCCATCTCCACAGGTGATATTGTTAAGAAGGTGGAGTCTCCTATTGACAAGGTTCGATCTTTCAAAGATATTTTAAAAAATTGCCGCGATGACAGAAAGAGCTTGACCGTTTACATTGGAGACTCAGTGGGTGACATACTTTGTCTGCTTGAGGCAGATATAGGAATTGTAATTGGGTCAAGTTCAAGCCTTAGGAGAGTGGGGACTCAGTTTGGTGTATCTTTTGTTCCATTGTTTCCTGGGTTAGTTAAGAAACAGAAAGAATTCATAGAAGGAAGGTCTTCTAATTGGAAAGGGTTAACTGGCATTCTTTACACAGCGAGTAGTTGGGCTGAAATACATGCCTTCATTTTGGGGTATTAGATTTTTGTTTTTTTTGTTTTTTTGTTTGTTTGTTCTTATGCACTCAACTATGTGCTTGGACAAAGGAATCATTCATATATAGTGGAACACAGATAAAAGTTGGTGTCGTGTCAAAAACCAAAGATAAAAGTTGGTGGCTGATTTTATAAGGGCCACAGGTTTGCTGCTGTCTTGCCCTTTTTTCCTTCTCTTTTGTAAACAGGAGACCTCTTTGAGAAATGTGATGTTGGCCTCTCAGGGTGCTGTAAACAGGGTATGTGCAATTATCTTCTGCTTCTTTCATCTTTTTCCTCGGTCTTTCCCCCTTGGGTATTATTTAACTGCGTTATCGTATCTGTTTCTTGAATCCTCATATTTCAGGCATCGAGGGTTTACAGGCAGCAAGGAATCAAAACAGAGATTGTTATATCATTTGTCCATATAAACATTTCAAGTTCTGTATCTGTATTTTGATAGCTGATTGCTATTCGATATTTTTGGGATGAATGGCAGTTTCAGAGTGTATTTTCGGTGGTACCTATGCCATGTCCTATTATAAATGCAGATGCAGAGTTCATGTTAATGTTTGGATGTTGCAACTTTCTTGACTAGTTTGTTTGCTTCTGATATCTGTGCCAAAGAAAAGATATCTGTGCCCTCTATTTTGTGATTAAAGACTGCTTCCATTTGTGTATTATATGTTACATAGATTTGCCATTCAGTCAATTACACCCCAAGTGGTCTTATTCATATAGAACAGTTGTCCTCATGTAGTTGGACGCAACGCTCTTGAAGGACGTGTGTGGCTGCGTATATAACCACAGTAGTTGGTACGAGATGCGTCTACCATGACAAAAATTGAACTCAGTTGCCTTGATCCCCAAGGGAACTGAGTTTAATTTTAAAACTTCTTAATTTTAGATCAAATCGACTGCCCCATCTGGGAAGTGCATGTCCTCTGCTTCTAGTTGATTCTTTTTACATATATATATATATATATATATATATGTCTTTAACAGCATGTTGGTATCTATTGGATGTTTGGCTGGGGCCATAATTTCTCATAGACAGTCCACTATTGAATTGCATGCTTTGCTCGGTTTGGCTTGCATCATACTTTTGGAAAGACATTTGAAACGCAATGCTCCAAATTGGAAACATGAAACGGATGACCATAACTTTTCAGTCAACATGACATCCATGATATGCAAACTATACATGCACTGAAACTGGCATGCACACAAGTCATATTAAACTAGAGGATAAATGAGAGAAGAAGACAAGTTGACCACTACTTTTTTACATGCATTCGGACAAGGATTTCTCCATTTGCCCCCACATTTTGTCATTTGTGTAAGTTTTTCAAATAATTGAGCCCCATGTAAAGCTTTTCTAACAAAACTCTCCCCCTTTTTCTTCCTTTTCTTTAACCAACAATTCCTACTTTCTCACTTATCACGCTTAATAAAGTGAAGCTAGAAAATCTTGTTTGGTGGAAATGATGACATGGCGGGGGCCTGCGTCTAGTTGTACGCGAATAATGTTTAAAAACAGTTTTAGGATTATACCATCATCACCAACTAATAGTATTATTAAAGACGTGCTTCGTACTGAAGATTCATAAATCATTATAAGTAGAAAATTTTACTTTTCAGTGGAGTGGGATCTTAGCTTTTTTGTTTCTGTGAGTTCTGAAGATGCACTTGAAGCTCAGTGTGGTTGGCCACGTTTCCAAATCTCACTGGCTTTGGCTTCCACTCAAACCAAAATCCAGAGACTTTTTAATTGCAGACCCGTGAGAGCTTCTTTCTTCAATTGCAAAAGCATTACCCATGAGGTGAGGTCCTTACAAGTTACATCTCTCTCTCTCTCTCTCTCTCTCTCTCTCTCTCTCTCTTGTTCAATTGGATCAGCTTTTGGTCCTACCTAAATAATGAAAAGGCCCCTCCACTCTTTCAATTTGTAAAATCCATCCAATCAATCTCTCAACAATCCAATTTGAAAAGGCCCCTCCCCTTGACTTTGTTAGTACTAGTCGATCGTCCTTAATCAGACCATGTTTGTTTAGTTGTTTACAGTAGACCTTCCCCACTTAAACGGCACTAATTCTCAACTGAATCTCAATTGTCTAAAGGACATGCCTTTAAATCTTGTATACACATAAAAAAAAAAAAAGGTCTCTGTCTCTATACTCTCACTAAGAGCTAAGGGTGTAATTTAATATTCCAAAAATGGGGGCACCAGAAATGTCTAACCAGAAATGTCGACAGCGGAGTAAACCACAATTAGCTATATATGGCTACCACATGTTGTGCCAATTTAGTCTTTCAATCAATAGGTTTCATGGTGCAAACAGTTGACAATTGAGATCATATACGAATGATGTTGATCATCATTTCTTATATAGCTAATAGTTATTTAATCCATGCTTACCTTACCTTGGAATGATGTTTCTAAATTAATTAGTATATGGTACAACATATTAAAAAAATATGTAGATCTCATGTGACTCTTTGTCATATGCTATGGACATGAGAGCGCGAATGAATGACTATTAGTGTTTGATGTAGGTGAATTCTATTATGGATTTCATATGCATCAACGACTGACAATGGTGTGTCGGCAGAGATTGTCAAAAACAATTGAACGACAAAATTAACATGAGAGACAAAATTTTGACAAGAAGCTCTAAAAACAATTATATAAGCAACTAAACTAATGCTGCCATTTCTAATAAAGTCATTATCTGCAAAACCCAAGAACTATCTTGTGTTATTATATATACAAAACCTAGTGATTGAGTTAATTAGCGGCCAGCTAATTAGGTTGTCCAATCCAATGGGTAAGTTTTGGCCAACTATGAGCACAAAATAAACGAATATTGTTTTTGTTTTTATTTTTAGGTATATATGTGGATCCAAATTGGATAGCTCACCTCAGATTCCAACTTTAAATTATAAGAGGGGGGGTCCTTTTTACTTAATGGGATATTCCTTTTATCAGTAAAACACATAGAGACATGTGAAGTAGGGCCTCCCATGTACGTACGTGGCCTAATTCATTTCCCTTTCACCTTTGTTTCGTCCGCTTCCACAACCGATTGCTACTTATATATTAAGACATCTATCTATATATACCCAACCACCCCAAAATTCTATTGCCTCTTTCTTCTTCCTCTACAACTTAAGTTGATTTTTCTGCCAGAGAAATAATAATTAGGGTTTCACTGAACTTGTCCAAGGAAGGATCGATGACGGCGATGATGGTGCTTCAGAAGTTGATGAGAAGAATGTCAAGAGGAGAAGAAGATAATTCTTTCATGTCCAAAAGCTCACCAGGAGGAGGATATAGGGTCCTCAACTTTCAGTCATGGCCTGGTTTACAGCAGTAAAGAAGGTGATGAACTTGAGGAGGAAATGTAACCTCAGGCAAGTCTGATTCTTGGCTTATACATATGATATATATATATATATATATATCAACCCTTAATATTCCTTGACCTTCTCCGTTCCTTTTTTTATCTTTGCCTTTTAGTCAACTCCTTTTCTCCTGATTCTTGGCTTGTTTGCCAAGAAATTAATGGAGGAAACTGAAATAAACTATGGAATGTTAGCTCCTCCAGGTTGAGCAGCGAAAGAGATATAATTTTGTATTTCCGTTGTGTTTTTTTCCTTGCTTTGATCTTTATTATGCATTTGCTGGTGTGCTCCATGACTGTAAGAGACATCGATCGTCGTTGTATAACACAACTGGTTTTCTGGTTTTTCTCTGTTTCTCATTGATTAATGAATCGTTGACTTGACACCGCACCGCAGAAGTGCTATACCAAGTTCGCATACAAATACTTTATACTCATCAAAACTGGAATCTTTTATCTTCCAAGTTAGTTTAGTATTTTCACGTACATGAGCAGGGTAGATAATGGAACGTGGTTGGATGAAAAAGCTACCGTATCACCGCGTGTCTGATTCTTTTCAAAGAATAATTGGACGTTAGGGAACATACCTCTATATGTATATGTGTATGTATATATAAACCTCAAATTAATTAGAGCACATGTACTCCTCTTCCCAGTTAACTGGCAATTAGCATTCTTAATTAGCTGGCGATGAATGTTCAACGTTGGAAACAACCTCTCATATCATATATATATATATATATATATATATCTAGCTCTTTCTATGAGTCTTCCTGGTTAACAACAAGAAGCCGTAATGTATAATATGACACAATGCTTAAAGATTTTGGGCCATGAATGAAATGATAGGGCCCAGCGCTTAGCTCTCTAAACCTCAAGTTTATCTAAAATCTTCTTCTTCTATATTCACATTATGCGCAGCAGCAGCTTTTAATAGAACTCAAGCTTTTATTTTATAGCAAGGAAGGAACATGATAAAACCTTCCTTGACAATATATAATAAAGACTAGCTAGGCAGAGAATCGATCAGAAGATAATGTACTGGAAAGAAGTGACCCCTTCTTTTGCGGGCACATGTATGTCTAGCTCTAGGTCTAGGGGGAGGACAGCAGATAGAATAAACAAGATTTGAGATCTAAGTAGCTCTTGAAAAAGCCAAGGACGTGGGGGCTATAGCAGCAATACATGATCAAATGTTGAAGCAAAATTGGTATAAATGGCATGGCAGGGTTCCAGATAGTTGGGAAAAGTTAAAGGAAAAGAAGAAAACACCTTGGATAATGTATTGAGACTCTACCATAAAGTTGCAGAGAGCTGCTTCCTCTACAGAATGTGCAGAAAAAATAGAAAATAAAAGAAATTATTATGAGAGATAGATACCATGGAGCCTTCATTGGGAAGATAGAATCTTTTCGTCCAACATGATAAAAGCCAGAACATAGGGAGGGAGTGGGGGGCCATATTTGTAGCTTTCTTTCTGCATCTTTTTATTTTATTTTATTACTTTTTTATTGTTTTAATTTTAAAGTAAATATAGTAGTTGATTATCTACTACAGTTTGGGATAAGGACGATGGATCACTAAAGTCTGCCACCCTCCTCCATCATTTCAATTTCCTTTTCATTATTAAAATTTTGAGTTAGTCACCATGTGTTGTCACCTAGTGCCAAAATGACGTGCAATTTATAATATATAAAAGTAAAAAGGAAGACAATCAAATTTAGATTTTTCTATTGGTCCGTGAATCATCAAAGACTCAGTGACAAAGCTAATCAAAAATTAAATAAACAAATAATTTATATAATAGAGTATGTTATGCGGTTGATGATTAGTTGAATGACAGTTCAACAAAACTCAGAATCTGATAAGCAAATTGGAGAAGACAGACAGAGTCACAAAGAGCAGCTTCCTTCCATCACCCAATGGAAAACTGGCTTTCCTTTTCAATATGTATAATTAAACGCTCTCTCTCTCTCTCTCTCTCTCTCTCTCTCTCTCTCTCGCAGCTTTGACTTGGCATTTCTTTCCTTCCCTTTCCTTCTTAGTTCAACTCTGTAAGTGCCAACAATTAATTGAATATTATATTATATTATACAATTGCACCTTTTTTTGGGTGGGTGGTGAAGATGAAGAAAGAATGAATCACTTTGTGTTGGGGAGTCCGTACAACTTTAACAAGGATAATATTAAATTCAGCCAAGTTGGATTTTTTTTTTCTTCGGCCAAAGTTAAGAAGAGGATGAATTAATACAAACATATTATATGGTTTGTTATTTTTTTTCTTTCTAAAATTAAAAAAATGAGAGAAAAACTCAAACACACGAGTACCATGAATTAGCTGACACTCATACACAACAAATACCATGAATTAATACAAACATATCATATGGTTTTTTCCCTGTAAAAGTGTGTTTTCAATCAGTGGACGCTATGGAGGAGGAGAACCATTAAACCACAGTGAACACGAGCACGCTTTTATGTTGAAGAATAAATCCTCTGCCATTCAATCAAGAACAGTAAAGTAAAGTAATTGATCTGCATATTTTACCCGCATAGCAGAACAGTGAGAAAATCATCCACATTTATTCAACACAAATTTACTTTGCCACTGTTTTTACTTTTTGGGTTGGTTAATCTAACTGGTCAATTGTAGTGAACAAGAAAAGACTACGACAGGTGAATAAAAATACTTGATAGCAATTAAACTTTTTTTGGATGATAATAACTTTTTATTTTTTGAATATCGGCTATAAACAATTAATAATTACTATTGCCATAAAACAAGAAGCGGTGTGTTATGATATCAGTGTTCTTCATTTTGAAGTCTATGCTTGAGTTAGCATAAAACACATGGTTGATTGTAACATTTGTGACTGGTATTCAAATTTATACTTCACCATAAACGTCAAAGATTCATATAATCCTATAAGCTTAATATGTCATTGGCAACATTAGCTCTCTTTTCTTACTCTTCCGAATATCCGTGGACTTATGCCATTTTTTCATCATAAATGGTATGCTAGATTTTGCTCCTACAATACCTTTTTCTTTATACGCCCACACACGGGCATCACTTAAATATTCTGTATCCATCCCGCCTAGAATGTTAGCCTTATCTTAACGAATAACATCAAATTATGGCATTCTTGAATTAGATTGATGGTGTGGTTTCAACAACCTTTGTTGGTTTTATATAGAAATTTAAAGGCAGTTCTTTGTAAATGATGCTTTAATAAATAGTTAAATATGAGTGATATAAATGTTGCAAGGTTACATGGACTCTTCACTTCATCTTATTGCTTATACATGTGTCAATAAGACATGACACATGTAAGTGATAAGGGGCACTAGGAATTGCAGATGCATAAAAGACCTTCAGAGAAAGACAAACCCTGTGATATACTTGGGCATTGACCCTCGTCTGACTCCCATACCCGAGTTCATGTAACTTATGTGATTGCGCAAACTCCTTAGGAAATGAGCTCTATTTGCGTAGTTAGTTGATGAGCTACTTGTCATGTATATGAGAAACATAAAATTCTCATATTTCAGAGGATTTTTACTTCTAAGGTCCTAATAAAGTCTTTTGTTTTTCATGATAGACACAATAGATTGATACTGTACTTGCTGATTATTGAACTTGTCTAAAGTATGTTAAAAGGTTACTCAATATATTTTATCATTCATCTTGATGTTGTTTCCTATATTGCTGGACATTAGCATGACCATGGAGTATGCAATGGTGAATTTTGCAAACAATAAATTAGTGTTTTTTCATCACCCCAAGGATTGCATAAATCCACCTTATTGCTTAGATTGCTTTCACCTTTATCTTATATGATTGAAATACTTTGTTGTCTGTAACTAAAGATATAATAGATAATGAAGAAGGATGCCCTTACCCATCCTTCCACAAATATGAGTTAGTTTGTTATGCACACTGGCGGATCTAGCCATGTTTTGGGTAGGTAGCTGCCTACCCGAAAATTGTTAGGAAATGAAAATAGGTAGATAAAGCAAAAAGACCAAGGAAAAGAGAAAGGGGAAGAAGAAAAAAAAATAGAAAAGAGAAAGAACGGATCAACAAGCCAGGAAAAGAGAAGAAAAAGAGAGAGAGAGAGAGAGAGAGAGAGAGAGAGAGAGAGAGAGGGATAAACGTGGCAATGAGTCACGTGATTAGATATGGGTGATATTGAATTCTCTATAATTATTTTGGACTAGGTAAAATTGTTTGGACACCCAATTTTTTTTAACACCCAATCCCAATTTCTTGTACACTAGAGCCTAGTTTTTTTAGCAATAGATGCTAATTGTTTTTACATGTACTAATTGTTTTTTTTATAATCAAAATGCATTTGATTCAGATTTTTTTTTCCTTCTTATTTGATGGATGATTATAACATGATAGATGTAATATCAATTTTGCTATTTATATTATTTAATCATTTTATTAGTGCCATACATGTATTCTAGTTTTTGGAAATTTTTTGTATGTGCGTATCCATACCCATATTCATACAACATGTAAATTCTGCCTACTCAACTTCCAAATTCTGGATATGTCATTGGTTATGCGGTTGGTTTCTTCGAAAACATTTGCTTTGTGGTGTTTGATGCCACAACCAATCCAGACATTCTTAGGGGTGCTTTTCTAGTTTTAAGACTGCTGCTTTCATAAGATACTTTTAAAATAGGGAAATTTGCATAAATACTACCTGAACTTTCGGGTATGTGCGTTATTACCATATGAACCTTTAATTTTTATTTTTAACTACCTGAACTTTGTAAAGTGTTGTAATCCACCACCTATATCTAACTCTGTTAAAATTTCTGTTAAGTTTAAGGGTATTTTCGTCAATTAAGTATAACGAAGAATAATTATATAAAAAATAGATTTTTTTAAAAAAAGTGAGGGCAAGAGAGAAAGATGAGAAACCAGCAACATCTACTGGATCTAAGCTATCAAGATCCTTCCATGTCAAAATAAAATGTTCCATTTATGGGGAGCAAGGCCACAACAAGAGAAAGTGCGATAAAAGAGGTGGTGCCAACAACATCAATAAGGGTGAGAGAGTGTTTGCTGGATTGAGGGTGAGAGAGAGAGTAATTGTAGTATGAAATTATTTTTTTTAGATATGCAAACTTTCATTGAAATGAAGGACAAGCCTTTGAACAAATAGTGCAAGCCATGAAATGAATGCAGGAAGGCGTTGGCAAAAATAAAATAAATGGAAATACAGGAAGGCAACAAAATCAATGGACCATTGCAATCTGATATGATATTTGGTAGAATAAAGACTATGGAGTAGATAAAAGAGAGAGAGAGATATGAGGTTAGCTTTATTTTTTTGTATTTTTAATTCTGGTTTTTTATATAATTATTCTTAGTTATAGATAATTGACGAAAATATCCTTAAATTTAATTGAAACTTTAATAGAGTTAGACGTAGGTGGTGGATTGCAACACTTCACAAAGTTTAGGTGGTTAAAAATAAAAATTAAAAGTTCAGGTGGTAATGATGTATATGCCTAAAAGTTCAGGTGGTATTTATGCAAATTTTCCTTTAAAATATATTAATATTTAAAAAGTATATTCTTTAAATATATACGAATATTTTAAATATTTTAATAGTATAGCATATTGTTTCAAATAATAAAATAAAAACAGTAACCCCTGTATCGCCGGGCGGCTATACTATTTATCGATTAGGTGCCCACTTGTCAAAACAGGTATCGCCGCACGGCCACACTTTAAAAAAAAAACCAGCAGTAACGCCGTGCGGCTATACAAAAAAAAAATTGGGAGTATCGCCGATCGGCGTCCGACTATACGGCACAAAATGGTTTTTATTTTTATTTTTTATAATTAAGTAATATCTTAGACTTTTGTAATTACTTTAATTAGTAATTATGTTTTAATTATTATTTCTTTAGTGAATAATTAGTATTTAAATAGTGAACAAGGAAGACTACAATAGGTGAATAAAAATAATTAATAACAACTCACGCATGTGCCAATTGGTTTTCTTTTTTCTTTTATATTTTATTTTTAGAATTAAGAAAAGATAACATGGGTAGTTATATTCTATAAAAATAGGACTTATTTTATGATTTTTATTATTTTTTTAAATATGAAAAAATGAATTTACCATATTACCCTCATTTAATTAATAATTTCAATTCTTAATGTTTGAATTAACCAATGGCATTTTATAGTATTTTGAATGTTTTCACCATTCTCTGTCTTTTGCTTTA